AATTACACGATAAAGTACAGTGTGGACGTTGGATTTTCTTTAGTTATCACATTTAATCAACTTCAAGGCTATTTTGCGAGTTTCAATACATTATTTAAAGCCAGGCATGTCAACGGTCCAGAAGTATAACGCTTGACCTCCATTCAAGTGGTCGCAGTTCGATCCCTAGCCGACTCATTCCTAAACCTCACTTGGCCTGTAGTAAACTCCATCCAACCACCTGGCAAAAAGTAACACAAAGGTTACTGAAACTTAAAAGCTTAAAGCCTGAAGCTCTACATTCCATTTCAAACATGAGAGAATGAAAAAAAGATTTAAGGATAAAGATTTCAGACGGCGGATTAAGGGCATCTAAATTCAGTATCTGGTCTTTCTAGTGGTCTCCAAGACTGAACATTTCCATGTCAGTCCCTCAACTACAGACATTTACGATTTTAATCACAAATAAATAGAAAAAACCTAAAGTCAAGAAAAGATGTATGTATTTGGAAGAATTATGAAATGCCTTATAAATACAGAGATTTATTCATGTTTCCCAAAACAGCTGTGAAAAATTAATTATCAAGATGTATTATCAGTCTCAGGTGTAAAATTCTATGGGGTTTGAATAAATTTTTAAAATAATGGTGTAAAAGTGCAGTTAGGGGAATTCTTGAAGTCGTTACTATAATGTGATATTAATTCTTAAAATTACTGGCTATTGAGCTTAGTTGAGTAAAGAAACATGTGTTGTTTGATCGAAGTCCTCATGATAATACGAAATTAACCACCAACTACCCCAAGTGCAGTGTTTTCAAATCGATCACGAAAGTGCAGGTGTATTTACTGTCTTCTTTGAAGTGTCGAATGTTTTTGCGAACTTTCACTTCCTTCTATGCTGTTGTGAAACTAAGAACTTGTAGTGATTCACTTGTATTTCAGGTCCACTGTTGACTTACGTGTCTCTGCCATCAGCAGGATAATGCTCTCAGTAAGTTAAACAGGGTATAGATAATAAAATATTTCCAAAGCTGCCTATATTATCTTACAAACAAGGCAATATCTTTACTCACAAGTCATCTGTGTATTATAATTCTGTAACTGTAATAAATATAACTGACCTGCTCTCAACACACTAATACTGATATGCAAAATTAATGGGTAAAAATGCATTTTCATCACAGTAACTTCGCATTCATCTGAAATGATTACTGCAGTGAGAAGAAGGCCTACACCTCAGAAATGCTCCAGTCAGTTACTTACAACCTATTGTATCACAGAATCACTCAAATTTCCACGAGATTTAATTGCCAGTGAAGTCTCACTTTTATTTTAAACTGTTACTGCAGTATTACTGAGATATTAGTAAGTATCCCTCCCATAAGACTAAAATTAGAACAAAAGAAAACCGGAGACATCAGTAGAATCTTTTGTTTTCAAAAAGAGTTTCTCATAAGTTTCTGTGAATTTCTTCGATTGTAGTTGACCTTCTCATCATCTGACACATTGTTGAATGGCACCCGCATTCTTTCTTTCTTTCTTTTCCTCCTCATGACCTATTAACAAGCAGTGAGTGTATATCCAGCTGAGTGAAACCCGCCTTGGTAACACGTCAAACAACAGTGACAAAAACAATATCTTCTGCGTCGATATCATATGTGTACATCTCTTAAAAGTATTTATGACATATATTTGAATCTTCAGTGTTGTTTTATGTGCCTAACTTTTGCATTAGGACTAATTTGACAAGCCTGTCATTCATACGGTGTGGAAAAGAGTTTCATGAGTGCTGAGAGTTTCTGAGTTTTAAAACAAAAAATCAATTATTCACAAGAAGTCTGCTGTATTTGGAGCAAAAAAACCTTTCGATCCACTTTGAACAAACGCTTGAATTATCATGAGATTCCTCAATCAGACAAGCTGTGCGCGAGACGCTAAGTGCAATTTCAATAAGATGGTCTAAATACGAAATGTGTGACGGTTTCTTGTAATATAAATGGGTGAAATGAGCAACATGATAAAAAGGTATTGAATTACCAGCATAACCTGGAGGTATTAACGTGCACAGTAACTTTTGGTGATTAACTTTTTTCACTAATAAAAATGTTTAGATGGCTTAATCTTTTCGAAACCGTTAGTATTAAGTTAATTAGATATAATTTCACTTGAAGACTAATAATTCACATCATGAACAACTATCACCCATAAAAATTTAGACAATGCATAAGCAAAGTACAACACTTTTGTGTCATAATATTAACAGATAGATTAAACTTTAAGTATTACTTAATCAAGGTTCAAGAAGAAATATCTCAAAACAGTAGTTTAAAACTACAACTGGAGAATTTACTTCAGAGTCGATTCTCACCCAAGACGTTTTTATTTCATGTCTGTAACACTGGGCACTTGTGAAGAAGAATTGGAAAAAGGAAAATATATCTGAGAAATTCCTACTGAATTCAAACAGCAACCTTGAAAAATCAATGAGTCATGTCTAAGGAACTCAAGTTTAACTACTGCTGATAACCTGTCCTTAATATTTTCACTACAGAAGTTCATAAAGATCAGTAAAATTTACAGTCTTACGTGACAACTCCCAGATGTACATGAAGAACCAAAAATGAGTGCCGGGGATCAGGTAGAAATCCCTTTAGAATATCGCTGAAAGGATAGCTAAGGTAAAAGGATAGTCCAGATATGTTTAACTGAAAATAGAATGGAATGAATATAACAAATGTTGAATCTACCAGTGTCTGTATGAAATTATTAGACAAACCAGCATTAATTGTCTAGGATGAACTAATGGCTACTGCTTACCATATTTCCTGAAGTCATAAATGACATAAGAGTTCTGTATTCATAATGTAAGTTGATCAGGAATTTTACTGTAACAGTATATGCCAGTATTTGTAACTCTTCAATTCCGTAAATAATCCACTTTGTTGTGGTTACTGATTGTGACCACTGGCCTATAAATTTTAAAGTGAAATATTTGCAAAACTCTTATTACTGTGTTCCATTCCATGGTATAACATTTTTTGATTTCGTTAACCTGAATATACAAATAAAAACTGCCATATTTACAACCACTAATTAAGATATTCACTGATTAAAACAATACAGTTTTGATGAAAAGTTATACCGCCATCAGTTGTTAAGGGTGATAAAAGTTGTATGCTTGGTTATGTAAATATATCCGATACTGTAAACACTGAGTTTGTTTATCAGAAATATAACTGTCGTCGCCAAGTCTAATCACGTAACACCGACTTATATATGTATATCACTACACTTTGTTGCCATGATGAATAAGTTTATGGCATTTAAGTATAGGCCACTGCTTACAAATGAAGAATCATAAACAAAAACTGATTCTGCTTATCTAATCGAATGCATCAAAATTATCACGTATGGAATGCGTATCAACGGTACATGTATCATCTTTATGGTGCCTTTAATTCACCTGCTTATATTAGAATAGTATTTATAGAATGACAGTCTCAAAGCAGTGAAATTATGGAGAGCAGTTGTTAAGTGTCCCACTAGTTCTGTAACTTGACACTGGATTTCTCATAGGAATCAGAAATCGTGATGAACTGCTTAAAGTTAGTTCGTGAAGGTCAGTGAACAAAATAAGGCCGAGAATGCATCACTCTACAACCACTGTATTAATGTTAAGGACTACCATGAAGACCATACTAACTTAAATTAAGTATACGGGACTTAGTGAACAGTGTTTTTCAGCCGATTTCTCATCCTTAGAATTTTCAAGTGTCTGAATCATGTTCAGTGGTAAGTAATATGAAATAAAATGCCTAAAAGGATAAAGGGAATCCAAGAGAGCTATTTGGCAACATTGTTTTGATAAACACCAAGTTAGATCCATTCATATGGGTCAACGGACTTCCATATCCTGTAAGCTAGTACAAGCAAACACTATATAGAATCATTCATCCTATCATTCACACTATGTGAATACCTGAGAACAAATGAAAATTAGAGTTTCTTCACTAGAAAAGTCAATAATGGATAACTTGTAAGATTTAAAAGCTTTTTCACCAGCATTTTGACTTGTTCTACAAGAATACGTGGCTTAATAAAGTAGTTGGGTGTGAGTTTCCCCAACTATTTACTACCATTTAACAGAAAACTTTGATTCACAGAATTTATATTCTTTAATTGTCGTGATTTATTGACAAAGAGTGCCTCTAAACCGTGAGAGATTTCCGACTGGCAGGAAATCATTTACTACCTGGAGAACAATATGACAACATGCAAAATTTCAGCTCTGACAAACATAGTTTCATAGGAAGTATGAATTTTCTTGATCTTTATGATATACAAGTATTAGTTTTGCAGGGATTTTGTTTGATTGCATGGAGGATTTCATCATGAGCTGACATCAGTTAGAGAACCATTGGAAAACCTGGGAGTACTGGACAGCTGTTTCGTCCTTGTTTGGGACTCTTCATCAGTACGCATCCACCAGGTCCTGGGTCCGAATCCAGGTGGGTTCCCACGTTTTCCAATGGTTCTCTAACTGACGTCAGCTCATGATGAAATCCTCCATGCTTCATAATATATCCCAAAACTCAACTTTTACTCTTAATGATGTATGGCTTATTTTAACGTCAACTATCAAAACAGGTACATACGTATATGAATCTCATATACACCTAGTTACAGTGTGCAACTAAGTGTTTCACGTGACCAAAAATTAATCAGAAGAAACACCAATCTGGCGCTCGCTCATTTGTTATTCTTACTGCATAATAATCTATTACAAAATGTAATCCACTACTACAATTGGTTCTTTTAGTCCGCTTACATAATACTTTCTCACCTAGCCCTGCCTGCCTTCTCATGATAAGAAAATTTCTGTACCGAAGCATGAAAACAATAAAATGAATCAACCAATAGAATATTGTCATATTCATAATAACATTTATCTTAGTTTTCATTGGCTGAATTACAGTATTTCTCTTTTTCTGTCTCACTATTATAAACAGTGAAATTTTGACACACGACATTTCACACACTTCACAAACACTGGAAATGCTCATGTTCACACCATCCAGTTTTCCAGCTAGAAAACTTTTTACAAGTTCAATGGATGAAGAATCCCTAAGTAAAAAGATAAAGGAAAGAACAGATGAACTTATGAAATTATCAATGGAGCGACTGCAAGAAAAATACAACATTGACTTGGAATATTTAATGTCCAATAAACCGACAACAATGACCTCAATTTCAAATCCTTCGATAAAATCCCAAACTACACTGGAAAACCCATCCAAATATCTGTCTACTTCAAAAACACATGGCACATGGCGTTGGGAAATTATTGACACGGAAAGCCAATATGTACCATCATTTTACCTTAGCAGAAAATATCATTCGGATACTTATATTACAACAAGCAAATATGATGGCTATATTTTACCTAAAACACCAGCAAAACAAATCAAGTGCCCTGAAATCATTCGTTCGGGTAATAAAGTCGAGTTTCGTCATTCTCTCCTAGTGAAAAATGAGTCTGCTACGGAGAATGAAATGCGAAATTCCACAACGCATAAATGTACACAATCTAGAATTAATACATGGAATATACCAGTGAAAAAGTGGTCTCAATATATGAACATCAAATTTGACAAACCTGTGCGTAACAGATCCTCATCTTTATCTCAGTTGGACAGAATTATTTCTAATAAATATGCGGCATCAGATAACAATACTTTAAAGAAAACAGCCAGTTCAGCTGGTGATCTGTCTGTTCACAGATGTACAGCATCAATTCCTGGAATGGTATCTAGAGTCGGAAAAACAAAATCAAAGAATACAGGAAGAAATGTGTTTCCAGTAGTAAAATATCGACAACTTACAATGCTTGGTAAGTATTGACCACAATATACAAAATTTCTTGTCACGTGTATACGTTAAAACACCATTTTATGGGTTGAATTTGGTTAGTTTTTCGGGAAGTTACACATATTTTTAGTTGTGAAAAAACGTGATTCCAGCATTAATATTTCCTTTTGAAAATGATATAATTTTTTTCTACCATAATGTGTCGTTTAACGGTTGCATTTTATTTAAGTATTGAGCTTATTATTTCAAGAGAACTCACTGAATTTTCCAACTATTTCGCTAAAGTTATTTGGTCAATGGATCTGTTTTTATCAGTTAACCATGGTTACTACGAATATATTTGTGAAAAAGACATTACTTAGCTTCTCTTTTTATTTCAAGAAGTAGGATTTCTTTGCATCATGTTAGCCAATTGTTGTTTGTATATATTGTTTGTTTTCAAATAATCACTTGCAGATATTCTGAATGGCATGAACATAGAGAAAAGTCCCATCTCTGTCAGAAAACAGTACCATAGAGACATGAACAACCAAGGGATGCCAAACGTAAGTTCCTTTTATTGTGACGGTAATTATTTGATGAATACAGTCGATTTAAATGTTTTAAATATAAACCGGTGGTACACATATGTGTAATTCAATCCTACTTGCTGGTGAAAGTCATTTATTGTGATTCATCTCAGATGTGGTTGAGTAAATTTGTGGAAATAAAGGTTAAAACGTAAATAAGAAAGCGAGCTTCAGGGATCTTAGTGGCATATACTAAAGTACAAGAAAAAGTGTTCAAGGAAATTAAATTTCAAAATAGACTTCGTCACGAACCGAAATCAACTACAAAACCATTAGTTTCACCAAGTATCATGGATTCGCATTCCTAGAGAGCCTCAAACTATGATGAAACAACTCTGATATGCTCTGATTTGCAATTGTTCTCTAATTGATGTGGGTTTGTGATGAAATCTGCATTGAAATTAGTCGAATTCCTACTAACACACACTTGGAAAGTTCACTTCTTTGATTTCTAATATAAAAGCTCTGATGACATATATCAGGATTCGGAGATATAAAATATATTGGTGTTTCCGCTTTATATTTGTGCATCTATGTCACCCGACACTCAGTGATTACGAAATTTTAAAATTTTACTAAATTTGACAGTCTACTTGTAAGTAGCTCAAATAACATTTTTTTTATTCCTTCACGTTCCCAGTGGAATATAGGGCTTCAAGCTAGAGGCTTGAAGTTTCTGTAGCAGTGTTTATTTTTACAGGATGGGGTTGCTAGCCTCATGCCCAACCTTTCCTCTTTACCAGTTTTTTGCTCAAATAACATACAAGGAATTTTTAATCTAAGAGAGAGAATGACTTAGATTTTTTTATATTATCACTCCAAATGATAAGTGGGAAATTAAATTCCCCAAGAATTATGCAGGATGAACAAATTTACAGTAACCGAAAGTTAAAGTAGGCCAGAGTTATTTTGTTAAAAGCCACTAATAGGAGAAAATTCATTATTTCTAAACATTACAAGCTCATAACACAGTTTTCCTTTATCTCATTTAGGACCACTGAATTCATCGATTGTCGAAATTTTACAACTGGCTGTGAGTGAGCATCTGATAACGTTTTATTCCGAAACTGTCTTTCAGTATGCTCCACATATTTATAAACTGGAATAAATTTACTAGTGTTATCTCACTAACTAAATTCATGATACACTGACGAAAATTTAACACTGTGGAAGAAATTTGTGTATCTATTCAATTTCTTTCAGCTTCCAACTCATACATTTTTCTGAATCCAATCTTTATACTATATGCGTTAAAACACAAGAGCATTTTTAAACATCATTTTTAATTTTATGTTGGGAATTTGTATTTTTATGCTACTTGACATTCCATTTTTTTTTCTAGACACTCTGTGTTCCTCACGATAAAAAGTGTATGCACACATGTTTGCAGTTAATTTTTTCTCTAAATTACCTATATATGTACAGCTTGTTCGATGCATTTTTATATAAAATAAATAACGTAATGTTCTATATAGTTTGTCTGTTTCAATATATTCCTTATCGTCACGTTTGTATCCGACAGATGCACTGGATGAAGAGAACGTCTATTATCTCATTCTACTAATACTGAAATAATAAGACTTGATATATTAAACAACATTGACTTTTGACCATTACTAAACATATTGATAGTTTCTAATCAGTGCTTATGGTTATAGGTGGGAACTGGTGCTTGTCAAGAGAAAAATGTATACATATGTTGGAAGATTTGGTAATCTATTCAAGAGATGACTTTCTTGTCTAACGTAAGGCTTGAACTGGTCATTACTGAAAAACCATTCGTTATTCTTGCGGTTCTGACTACTTTTCGATCTACATTATTCTAGGGTAAACACTTAATTCTTCAGGATAAGATTCATTTCGTAAAATGATAAATAGATACCTTTGAGACTTTCATCGCACACTAGTAGCTAGCGTGATGTGTCTAGTACTTTGTTTAGTGCAGACTGAATTCTATGAGTCAGGTTTGCAATGTGGCCACCAGTCTAGGTGGCTCTGATAGACAGACTGATAAAACTCAATCTGCACTAAACAAAGGACTACACATATCACGTTAGTTACTAGTGTCCAATCAAAGTATCCATTACAGTTAAACAGGAAGGAGGTCAATTACGAGCCCAAATAATTCAGTGGTAACGTGTCTGACTGTAGCACTGTGGGGCACAGGTTGAATCTCATAAGGGATATTAGTTCCTCCAAGGTTGCAGGTACGCCTTGCTGACTGGTGAGTGCCCACTAGCACGAAGCCTACGTCCAAGTCTTCCTGTCGATTGCCTCCAACCATCTAACAGATATTTTTGACTCATTTCCCTACAACCTTATACAAAACGATTTGTCTTACAGGATATTTATTGTTTTGCAGTACTGATTTTTTCGTATTTCGCATTAGGCAATATTTAGAGTTCTTCTTAGAAATCGGATTGACCAGTCATTTTAAATGTAACACTATATAGTTACTTGAAATTTAAAACGGAATTAAGTAGTATGTTTTTCAAAAAAGGTAGTATGTATTATTTTCCGTTATGATATACTTCACTTAGTCGAAGGTGAGCACTAGTCGTAAGGTGAAGGTGTGCAAACACTTGTTTGAAGGTTAAAAGTGAGTCACTTGATAAGCACCTTGGCAAAGTAATGGTTTAGCTAGTCAGGATTCACTTTCTCCAGTAGGAATATTATGTAATTCTAAGTATTTACTATTATTTATCCTCTCATTTTAATACTGGAGATATCAGTAAATTACCACCAGTTTCAACGTTAAAGCCTTTACTTTGATACTAGTTATCTGAGCAAAAGTCAAGTATTTGTGCAAAACCAGAAGGGATAAATGAGGATTATGGTTCAACTTCTTTTTTAAATACTCACTGAGATTACTCCTTTGATTAAAGTTACATTTACACTTTTTCTGATGATTGTCTATAGTTATTTATAAAGTACCTATTGATTACGATGGCCAACGAATCAGATGTTACCTTCATCCTGTTTACTACGACTAGCAGAGTGTCATGTAATTTGCCCTTAAATTTACATCGTAGCGTGTTCATGATAGCAGAAATTCGTTTACCGGATGTACAATATAATATAAACTCTTAGTTTAATTACAGTTATTTAGCGGGATGGATGCAATTCTTATTTTCATCTTGCCGCTGGATAATGTATGTTGGTGAGAGAGGCTCTAGAAATAGAATAAAAGATAATTTGCTTTCAGTTTTAAATATAATAACGCTGACTTGTACTAGTGGTTGTAAAATGCTTGCGTTAATTATTAACGCCACTTAGCTGACCGGAGATGATATAGACAGAGGTTTTGTTTTTGATTGCACACTAGTCAGTAACTAGTGTAATGTGTCTAGTCCTATCTTCGCTGCAGACTGAATTCTATCAGTCAAGCTTGCAATGTGGCCACCATGCTAGGTGACTCGCCATTACGGTGCACTGTGAATTGTTGGTATTAGATGGTTGGATGTAATCGGCAGGAAGCCTTGGACCTAGGTTTCGGGCTAGTTGACACTCATCAGCAAGGCATATATGCTTGTTTGTTTAACAGCAAACTTATCAATTTAACACTTGGCCTTGTAGATAGTTAATAAAGCGGGACTTTGGAAGTTACTGTTGAATTCAATATCTGCATGCCGCAGTGATAGAAACAGAAGTAACACAGATAAGGAAGATTTTACTGTGGTATTTTTTGGAAGCTTAAATATTTCAATCAAAATATATCATGAGGCTGACGCAATAAATAATGTCGAGATTTCGACTACATATGCGGTAAAATGCAACTCTCACCTGCCAGACCGCAACAGTCTAAACAACAGACAGCTTATTCACCCGTTTATATTAGCCTCATCAAACATACTTCTAAAATATATCATCACATGAAAATACAACTGTTAATCTAGTGAATAAAATTCCTTGATCATAGGAGAAGCATTTTATCAGCAATTCGTCACTAACCTTTTCGAACTTACATTACATTATTTAATGTGCGATAGAATAATACTACCTTGACAATTGCCTTTCTTACTGTAGAAGGGGAATTTGTATTCATGTTGCAGCTCTCTTCAGTATCATCACCAGGTAAATGAATTCATATAAGCTGCTTAGTTCTATATTATGACCTACTTAATACCGAATTATATTCTACCACAGCGCACAGATTCTTCGCTCACATAAGGCCTCTTAAGTTTACAACTTTTGGAAATTATTCCAGGTGACATTGGTATCTAATTATTTATTATTGAAAGATATCAGTTTGAAACTAACAAATACGCCACTGCCTAGTCTATACTGCTGGTTAAATGATATTGCTTATAACAGTTTTCTGACCATTCACGATATACAGAGCTGCTATCAGTACATACTCAAAGCCTAAAAGAATGAAGCAAAACATTTTGATAACATCTTAAACTTGAACTTCCAGCACTAACAGGTTTGTGCATTCTCAATGGTTAGTTTAACCGTTGCTGTGTGAAGAGGAGACCACTAAGTAGAAGTAGTGTAAAGGTACTCACTCTTACAGACTGTTTCATAATCAATTGATCACTCCCTATCAGGTGGGAAGCGTAAAAGGAACACCTAAATTGGTGCTGACTTTAGTTGAATTAATGAAGTGATTATTTTCATAACTTCATTTTATTTGCAAAGAAATGCCTACTTAACTCATAATACTGCACAATAATCATAGATAGTTCCACATTCTAAACATATATTCATATACATGCACAAAATGATTTGTGTGTATACTGAGCTTGCATAATTTATTTCTGGAAGGTCACGGTGTCTTGACCCGAATTAAGAAGAATGGATAATAAGAGAATAGTAATCATGACGTCGCCTAACTTATTTTTCTACTACAAAATACTAGTGATAGACAAGAAAACGAAGTAATAAACAGAAAATGAAATGTCTGCATTGAAATATAGGTTGGCAGGTATGTATAACTGTCAGAGAACATTTGTCAATTTTTATGCGTTGTACGTGATAAAGATCTCCAGTAAGAGTAAGACAGGGAAGTAAGTGAAGAATGACTAAATTTCACGGCAAAATAGCTAAGTCGAGCTAAGTAATCAGCTTAAGACTGTTTTTTTAACTGATCGACATCATTTTTCTCTCTCTTTCTCGGGAGAAAATGAGGTCATAAAACACATGTTCTGGTAAAGATTGTATAAAAAAACAGGATTAATGTGCACACATATTGTTGTCTATCTTTAGGTGGATGTGTCAATACGTTAGTATATATATATATATATATATATAAGGCACATGAAATAAAGCGGATGTAAATTGCTACTTCACAAATGATCAGTAACCGTTCATTTATCTTTTTCACAAGTATACTTTTTCGTTATCTAGGTCAGGTATTACAGAATTTAAAGAAAAAAAAATAAAGCCGGGAAAATATTTACATTTACTTACATACTGATAAGGGTATAAGCATGCATTTACTCTTTGCGCTCTACACAAGGGTACACACATATGCATACAGTTCTCATGGGACTTTAATAAACAGCTATGTAAAATTTGTAAGGATTTAGTCAAACAAAGCATAATGAGAGGTAATAGAAGACAGATATTGTTATCATCATAAAAAATTAGCTCTATTTGGAAAACCAACTTGATTCCTTAGACAGTCACTTCGGAATCACAGTCATTGTTTCTTATTGTTTATGTTCATTTTAATCACTCGATGAAATAACGTGATTAACCGGTTAAGACAATAGTTGATGGATGGTGACTAGCAGTGCAATTCAGGATGCCCAGACACCGTCGAAGCATCTGCAAAAGAAGCCGACATGTCCACCTGAGACCGAGCACTTCCGTCCAATCAATCAACGGGAAAATCTAAAGTTGAATGAAATGATTAAGACAATTTGCGTAAACTTCAGCCATTTTTAACTAAATAATTAACCAATTCCATCATAAAATAATTATATTAATAAAAAGATACAGTGATACAGTATTATTTTCCAGTGACGCCTTGATATGATCATGAGGAATAAATTTCGTTCAAAGCCTCATCAGTAAATGATACTGTATCGCTGTGTGCTTTTATCGAATGAAATTATTCTATGATGAAATTATAACTAACTAACTAACTCGTTTCCGATTGATACCAAGCACAGAAACTAGTTGAACAGGGCGTTTCATTTCATACCATTTATTACTTTTGTTGTAATAATAATCACGCTTTGGTTGTACAGCGCTTGTAGCATTTCCAAGTTAACAACAGTAGTGTAGGTGAAACTTTGAATAATACCAATATCCTTTAATGTTAAAAGGTTTGTGCTGATTTCACTGCTGTCATGATCAGCACTTTGCCTCACTGTACTATACAAATTTTATCGCCACTGAGCGATATCAGTTAGAAACTAGTGAAAACCGAAAAGA